CCATCTTGATGGCTCTCAAAATTATAGAATTTTGATAAGAGAACTCCTAGGACCTCTCATCCTATATGGTTTAGTTATAAGTCCCAAATGTTTTATTTCATCCTCCACATGCCAAATACAACAAGAGGATGATTATAAAATCCATTACTCTTGATCTGATCAAACATGTTCATCTCATCATTGATTGAAATTTTATATTTCACATCAATTCTTGCCAAAATATTTTACAATACATAAAAATGAATTCAATTTCACATACATAAACAATTTGTTTGAACCTAATATTCTTCGAGCTAGTAATCAGAGTTGACAAGGTTCATAAAACAACAATCTTTTGAGTGATCCTCCACATGCTCAAAGTCTGATTACTCTTGATCTGATCAAACATGTCCATCTCATCATTGATTGAAACTTTATATTTCACATCAATTCTTGCCAAAATATTTTACAATACATAAAAATGAATTCAATTTCACATACATAAACAATTTGTTTGAACCTAATATTCTTCAAGCAAGTAATCGGAGTTGACAAGGTTCATAAAATAACAATCTTTTGAGTAGGGGTGTCAATTTCGGGTCACGGGTCGGTTTCGGGTCGAACCAGGAATTGACCCGGGTTCAAACGGGGTCGACCCTAACCCGACCCGGGTGGAAAAACGGGTCGGAAATCGGAACCCGGACCCGACCCGGCGGGTTGCCGGGTTGACCCGACCCGACCCAGTTTAGGTTCTACCGGCGCCGGAACGGCGGCAGGCGGACCGCGGGGGCGGACGCGAGCGGGGACAACAGCGCTGGCACGGGCGCTGGAGTAGACGCGCGGGCAACGGGCGCGCGAGGGCGGGCTGCGCGGGGGCGGGCAGCGGGCAGAGGCGGGATTTGAATTTGTTTGAATTAAACGGGTTCGCGGGTTGACCCGGCAACCCGCCGGGTCAACCTGAACCCGACCCGTTTTTTAAACGGGTCAATTTCTTGAACCCGAACCCGACCTATTTTGAAATCGGGTCGGGTTCAACCCGGATTTTCCGGGTCGGGTTTTCGTGTCGTGTCAAATATTGACACCCCTACTTTTGAGTGATCCTTTGCAAATAAATAGTAAAATCTTTTAAGGTTATGGGTAACAATCTAAATATAAAAAAAAACACATGCTTTTTACTCTAATGATGGATTTTGTTATTAGAATATATTAACTAGAAGGGATCATTCTCACAATAAAAATTCTCTCAAACTACAAGATAAACCTTTTTGTGCTTCATTCTTAATGATGCATATTATTCAATAAAATTGTAAGTAGAATGAATTTTGCCCAAAACCATTCCCTCAACTAAATATATACAATTTAAAATGCTCAAGTAATAATCGACCACTACATGCTCAAAGCAATCACCCCTCCATTTTCTAAACCAGTTTATGGATAGTGACATTTAATTTTGACCAAATGATGGTGGTGAAAAAAACATTGGAAGGTTATATTCAATAGGTAGCCTATAATAAAACCATGCAAAAATTCACTGTCCTTACCAAGATTATAGTGAAGTCGGACTTCTGCCCGGCCACCGACGAACTCCGGACTTTCGCCGGGCCTCCAAGTGACGCTGGATTTCTGCCCAGTCGCCAAGTGATGCCGGACTTCTGCCTGGCAACCGACAAAGTCCGGACTTTCGCCCGACCTCCAAGTGACGCCGAACATTTTTCCCGGCCTCCAAGTGACTTCGGATTTCTTCCCAGCCTCCAAATGACTTCAGACTTCTGCCCAACCACCGGTGAACTCCAGACTTCCGCAAGTCCTCCAAGTCACGTCAGATTTTTGCCCAGCCACCATGTGACACCGTACTTCTTCTCGTCCACCAACGAAATCCTAACTTTCGCCCAGTCTCCAAGTGACGCCGGATTTCAACTCGGCCTCCAACTGACGCCATATGTTTACTCTATTGTCGAGTGACGTCGGATTTCTGCCCGTTCACCAACGGACATCAGAGTTTCGTTCATAAATAAAGGATTGACTATTGTAATATGATCAGGGGCGGATCCATCTTCTTTTCTTAGGGTGGGCAAAAAAAAAAAAAATTGGGTAGGGGATGGGCAAAAATGATTAGGATTGATGAAATTAGTGCGAAATTTTTTTTTGAGAGGGGGCAAAATACCAAAAATATTCAAAATATTCCAAAAAATACCCTCTAAAATTTAAAAAATATTTTTTTGATGGTGGGCATTTGCCCCCGCTCACTAGTATGGGGATCCGCCTATGAATATGATTGTCCTTAATTTAAAGGACGAATCAATCACTTGTAATCAATTCAAACACTAGTGGAATCTTTTCAGTTGGGCGTGACCCCATGATTTTCCCCCTTTTTAGGATTTTCCACATAAAAATTCAGGTGTCCTTTCATATTATGTTTGTGTGCTGGATATCCGTGTAACGCTAAGATGAAAAATTTTAACTCTATCACCGCGTATATTCTAGCCCGCAACAGGTATGATCTTCATTTTGGTGTTTTTTTAAAGAAGAGGGTTTATGCTTGATCCTTCGCATCACTTAGAATTGAATTTCTAAGAAAAGAAAGCAAGGTTCTCACTAAAGGGTAAGTAAGGACAGAGAAGCGAACTTCCTCTTAATAGGTTTTATAAATGTAATAAACAAATATTTTGCCTAAAATTTTACTTAGCTCCTACATATGAAAATATTTCATATTTGTAGAACAATAAAGAATAACTTAAATCTAGCATAAAATATAATTATTTCTCAAAAGTATATTTCTAATCTAAATCTAAATGTAGATAAGGTCTCGGGCAGAAAAATATTTAGGCATTTGCAATGAAAAATAAATGAGAATTGGAAATGCATATTTTTATTTTAATGATTTACTCTGCTTTAAGATTGTAATTAATGGTTGAAGATTAGAGGTGATAACTAAAATGGTTAAAGATAATTTTTTTTTTAAATATTTTCACTTTCAAAAATATAATCCGTTTGAAAAGCAGTTCGGGTTTCGTATTCTAACCAGTTTCCAATTTTGGGTCAGTTTCGAGTCAACTCGAAAACCCAAAATCAACCCACAACTGATTTGGATTTGGATCGTGCTTAGCTAGCCTCGCAATCGCCCTTCACCCACTTTGTCATGCTCGCGCTTGCAGAGGTTCACCCACTCATGCTCACACTGTCGCACGCCTATCCCTCGCTCACCTCGTCTCGCTCCCTCGCCTTACGCACGTGCTCGTGGACTGCCTCACATAGTGCTTGTCTCGCTCAATCGAATCAGCATGTCAGGTCGGTTTGACCTAGGTTTAGGGTGTGTCAAGTCCGAGTTTGGATTTCAAATCCAATTGTGTAATCAAGACGGGTCCGAATCAAATTAATTAAGTGCAAATCCATTTTAGGTTGGACCTAAACTCAACCTGAAAACTCATTTTGATACCTCTACATGAGATCTAGAAAAATTAAATAATAAATGTGGATAAAGACACAATAAACTCAAGAATATTTTGTTAATAAGTATAGATAAATTATTTTATTATTTAGAGGGGTATGAGTTAATTATTTAGTATTATCAACATCAAAATATAGGTATATATATAATATAAGTACTTTACAAGTATCTATCTGAGTTCTCATTAGGAAAATTGGCCTGAATGATCCCATCTCTTAAGAGAATCACTTGCCACGAGGAAAAGTAATTGGCCAACAAAATAGTCGATCGGAATCATCTTTAGCATGTCTGTCAAGAGGACTAGCCCAAACTCATCAAAACCTCATATATCAGTAACCCTAATAGGAATCATTCATCTATGATCTTCCTTTGCGGCGAAGGTTGTTCGCCAACCACCGACATCAACTATTCAACTACAATAAACAAAATTGTGGCGGTTTAATTAACTACTACAAATATGCACGTGTAGCAGCGGTTAGAACCGACACCATTCTTATAGCGGCTGTTAAAATCATTGCTATAGGTTCAGATTTGAGACAGTTAAAAACGCTGCGAAAACTAGTGCAACAAATTGCCTCCCCCAACTGTTTTAAAATCACTATAAATGACCATTGCTGCTAACAACAATTACAATGATTTTATAACCGCTGCAAGCATTATTTTAGCTATTAAAACCGACATCTTAGCTTATATTAAGTGATGCAAAAACTTTATTTTCTTATAGTGGGTTAATGAGTCGAGTTTATCATGAGTAGAGTTTATCGAGCCATAAGTTCGAGCTTGAGCCTGAACTCGAGCTCGCTCTCAGCCTGGATCGGTGCGTAAGCTCATTAAGCAACTAGATTAGCTTAAAATATATTAACATTTTACTTTGAATTAGTATTATATAATATATTTTAACATTTTAAAATTAATTCTAAATCAAAAATAAAAAATCTAAATGAAATTCACGCTTTTAATTTAAAATTAAGAAATCGAGCTCAACTCAAGCTCAAGATCAGTAAAAACTAAACAAGCTTAACTCGATTAGCCAGATACTCAACTCGACTCGATCCGTTTACACCCATTGCCAAATACATCAAAACTTATTGGCCAAATCTTAAATAGATTATCTTAATACTAAACGTTAATCCAAAACTAAGCTTTAAATTAAATTAAATTAATTAATTCCCACAAATATTGATAAGTTTTACGTAATACTACCGTTAGGAGAAGAATTATTCTTTTTGTGGTAACTAAATAAAATTTACACATTAGTTTTGACTTTATCTCAATTTGCGTAATATGAAAGTTTGGAACATTATTTTTATTTTTATTTTTTATTTTTTATTTTTGTTGCGTTATATATATTGATATATATGGAATTAAATTATATTTTTTACTTATAAAATTATAATCTGTCACATAAAATAATTTTTAAAAATACTTAAATAATTGTAGAAAATGAAATAGTAATATATTGGGGGAATATATAAAGGATGGGGAAGAGATCTATTGATGTTAAAGTCTCCACCATTTCTGTAGGTGGAGGAGGAGAAACAGTTAATAAATGGCTGTTCTTAGAAGAGAAGAGAGGAAGAAGCTCGGTGGTCTGAAGACCATGCCTTTTATATTATGTGAGTTTTTTTTTCTTTGTAATGCTAAATTTAGGATTTGTTTGAGACGACTGACTGTAATTTTTAATAAAGATTATTATAGAGCAACTTTGAAGAAAATAGCTTTTTGGAAAGCTATTATAGAAAGCACTTCCTATTACAAAAACTTATTGACATTTTTTTGTTTTTGGGTAGTTTAATTGCAATATTTACACATAATGAGGGTATAGAATTACAAGTAATCACGAAAGAGTTGAAGCTCCCTATTCATTAAAGTTTCGTTTTGGACAGTTTCTTAGTGCTTTCTAAAGCAGCCTTTCAAAAAATTTTAGTACTAAAAAGCTTATTTAGAAAGCATTAAGAAAGCCGTCCCAAATGAAAACTAAGGCTTCGTTTGGGACGGCTTTCTTACTACTTCTTAAGGCAGCTTCCTAGTATAAAAGTTTTAATTTTTGTACTAAAAAGCTGCTTCAGGAAGCAGGAAGAAAGCCGTCCCAAACGAAGCCTAAGTTGAGAAATGGGAAGCACAAACTAAGTCAGACCAACAAGAAAAAGATAAGCAAAAAAAAAGAAAGAACGAATGAAAGTCAAAGCCGAGGGTATGATGCGGATTTCAACCCTTAGCGAAAAAAGGCTCTTGCTCGAATGCATGACTGTGAAGAGCAAATCGTCTTGGAATGGAGAGATTATTACGTGCGGAGTTCGAACGTGTCTGGAGGTCAATCCGGACGTGTCACGCCACTCAATACACTGTATATCACTATATTGGCTAACGTAATCTTCAGACATGTTCGAACTCCGCACGTAATAATTTTTTCCTAGCATGACACTCTAAAATATTGGATTGGGACACCAATAACTCTACAACCACAAAGACTAATACTGTAATACAAGAACAAATCATTAATCAACGAGCGAGAGACGAATTTGAATAGAGTCTCGTAAAAGAAGAGAAGAGCACGAAAACCTAATTTAATTCATAACAATATGTAAATATTAAATTATTAAGACATTTATAAACAATCAGCATAACAAATTTATTAATTATTTGTAATATCTTTTTTATTTTTCATTTTTTTCTGTCGTTTTTGATTTTGTTAGCCAAATTAATTATAATGAGTGCCCTAATCAGTAATCCAATGCAGCAAATGAAGTATGCGATCGGTTCGCCGTTGCTGGTTTCAATGCCAATATGATTCAGTATCTGAGAAATGAGCTCCATCTTCCTCTTGTTCAGGCCACCAACACCTTGAACAATTTTTCCGGCACGTCGAGCTTTACTCCTCTCATCGGCGCTCTCATTGCCGACTCTTTTGCCGGTCGCTTCTGGACCATTACTGTTGGATCAATCCTCTATCAATTAGTATGTCTTATGCAATTTAAGTTTTAGTGTTTGATTGGAAAGTTTTTTCACAGTTTTACTTTTCAGATCATAGCAACAGTTCCGTTACTGTTTTCTTATTACTTTTCGAAAATTTTCATGACAGAAAGTTGCTGTTTTTACAGCCATAATTACTAAAATGTAGCAACTTTAAGAAAAGTTTCATTTGATATACAGGGAATGTTGGGCGTCACCATCTCCGCAATCCTCCCAGCCCTTCGCCCGCCTCCCTGCCCTCCCCAGTCCCCTTCCTGCCACCAAGCTTCGCCATGGCAACAAGCCATCTTCTACCTCTCCCTCCTTGTCACCGCAATCGGGTCGGGCGGAATCCGGCCCTGCGTCGTCGCCTTCGGAGCAGACCAACTTGAACAAGACAGTCCAACTCAACGGACCAATAGAACCGAACGACGCTGGAGCTTCTTCAATCTCTACTTCTTCTGCATCGGACTGTCTGTAATGCTTGCTCTTACAGTGGTGGTCTACATACAGGACAATGTAGGCTGGGGACTGGGTTTCGGGATCCCGACCATCGCCATGTTCATCTCTGTAATCGTTTTTGTGTTTGGGTACCCGCTTTACATCAGGAAGAAGCCCGGAGGTAGTCCGTTGATCAGAATGGCCCAGGTGGTGGTGGCGGCGGCGAAAAAGAGGAAGCTTGATGGACCTGCCGATGTTAGGCTTCTGTATCAGGATCAGGAGCTTGATGCTAATATAACCACCGCCGGCCGTCTCTCGCATACCAAGCAGTTCAAGTAAGTGTTAGGCGATCGGCGACTATCGCCAACTCTTTATTTGTTATTATTTTTGAATTACTAAATCAGAGACTGCAGATTCTTGAACCGGGCGGCGATTGTCACTGACGGAGACAAAACCGACACCGGCCGGTTGAGACCATGGCGGCTATCGACTGTCCACCGCATCGAAGAGCTGAAATCCTTCATTCGCATCCTCCCCATCTGGTCCGTCGGCATCCTCCTCATCACCTCTGCGGCCAACAACTTCACCTTCGGCATCATCCAAGCCAAGACCATGAACCGTCACCTCGCCGGAGACTTCCACATTCCTCCGGCCACCCTTTTGATCTTCTCCGCCATCTCCATGCTCCTCACTCTCACCATCTACGACCGCCTCATCGTTCCCCTCGCCCGCCGCCTCAATAACCACCCCGACGGCATCTCCCACCTCCGCCGCATTGGCATCGGCCTCGCCATCTCCATCCTCTCCAACGTCGCCTCTGCGCTCGTCGAGAACCGTCGCCGCCGGGCCGTCCACAAAATCAGTGTTTTCTGGCTGGTGCCGCAGTACGCGGTACATGGTGTGGCGGAGGGTTTGGCGTCGGTTGGTCTGATGGAGTTTCTTTACGACCAATCGCCGGAGAGCATGAGGAGCATATCGGCGGCGCTTTACTGGCTGTCAATATCGTTGGGGCACTACGGTAGTACGATGCTGGTGACGATGGTGAACGATTTCACTAAGAAGACGAAGCAGGGGAGTTGGTTACAGAACAATATCGATAAAGGGAGGCTTGATTATTTCTACTGGTTGGTGGCCGGGCTCCAAGTCTTCAACTTTGGATATTATCTTGTCTGTGCGAGGTTTTATGTGTTTAAGAGGTTAGAGATCGCCGGAGATCTGAATCTGGCGGAGGATGCGGAGGAGAAAGGTGGTGGTGAAGCTGAGCTAGCAGTGGCAGCTTAGGCTTAGAGCGTGCTGAAACCAGATTTTCATCAGTTGGAAATGCTATGGACTTTGGCATAGGAGCAATTGTCACAAAAAAAAAAAAATTCGTGTTACACTTACTTTCTTCTTTTTGTGTTATTTTTTCTTATCCGTTTGATTTAAATTATCTTAATTTGTTTGTCCAATGTGTTGAATAAAATTTAGGGTCCGTTTGG